TACATGTAAAAATATGCAACAGAGTTGAATCAGGCCAGAAATAAAACTGAGACAAGCTCTGACTGTAGCTAAAGAAAAATTACAAATGAAACAATTATACCTCAATGGAGCATGTTCCAACAATGATAAAACCACCATTTCTGCTTCTTCAGACTTTTTTATTTACTTATTTTTTGTGTGTGCTTCATTTGCATTCTTAGGAATGATAATATTTATTATGTTGGCATTTTAGCTAATGTTTATTTCCAGCCAAACATTTATCTGTGGAAGTAAATGCACCCAGTAGTTTCTGTATCAAATTTATATTTAAAGCATCATACAACACATTCACTTGCATTATAAAAATCAGTGTGTGCAGCATTGTAATTGAACCTTAGGTGGCCTCCTTAATTTCTTATCTTGGAGTTCATTTTACAATAACATGCCATGAATGTTTCATGTAAGCTGGGCTAAATGTGGAATGAAACCTTTCCATCAGCCTCTTTAGGATAGTAAACAAAAAGGTTGAGATTTAATAACGTCGTGAATTCTATTTTGATTCGTGCAACCGTTTAGCCAGTGTAATTATCGATTACTTGTTATTTTGACTTTGGAAAAATTAATCAGCATGGCACAGCTGTAAATGTTTTTTCAACAGATTGGAAAAAAAAGGGGATGTGTGACAACACATGGACTGAAAAGTCAAGCATGAGTCTCACACTCAATGTGTTAATGTTTGCAGCTCCAAAAGAGAAGTTAACACCTGTTTGTTGGAGGCATCCTTCAGCAAAGAACTTGGTTTACTTCCTTACGCTTGTGTCTGGTTTCTACGGAGCCCACAAGGGGACATGGGGGGATTTTTTTCTTTTGCGTTCCCTCGCAATACTTTTGCGTTACCTCGCAATACTTTTGCRTTWCCTYRCAATACTTTTGCGTTACCTCGCAATACTTTTGCRTTACCTCGCAATACTTTTGCGTTACCTCGCAATATTGTTTTGCGTTCCCACGCAAAAGTTTGATTTGTATATGAACTGAATTAAATCAGACTTTTATTTTGAAATATCCGGTTAGCAAAACAGGATGTGTCGCCACAAGTTCGTGAAAATGACATTGATGTTGCGTGGCTGCACTGTGTTAAAATATCGGCATATGACATACATGTGTGGTTGTGTGATATATTC